AAAGATGGCGACGATTTCTTGATGAGAAGAAAGCACGGTAAAAATATACTTGAATTGAGTATAAAATATACTTGATTCAAGAATATTATTCTTGATTCCAGTATAAAATATACTTGATTCTATATTATATGCTTGATTCGAGTATAAATTAGTAAAGTGATAAACCGGTATAAGTCGATTTTGACTATGGCCCAGTTTTCAATGAATATCTCAAAATCTAAGGGAAACAGCAAAATTTTTGTCATAACCTTTTTTGTAGAACAAATTAAGACCTACAAAAAAAGAAATTACAACAATTTCGCTATTTCCCTTAGATTCCGAGATATTTACTGAAAACTCGGCAATAGTCAAAATATCGACTTATACCGGTTTACCAATTCGCTACTGAAATATACTTGAATCAAGTATATTTTATACTCAATTCAATTTTTTTTCCATGAGCGATTTTTCAAACCAAGTAAAATTGAATTAATTTATTTTATAGTTTTTTTAGCCTCAATTCTAAAATATTTTAATGCAAAAACCACTTGAATTGATTTGAGAACTCAAAAACATTCAGCTTTTTGTGAAAAACTGTTTTGCTGACCATCTCCCAAGCCACTGACCCAATTAAATTTATTTATTCTTTTCAAAATACTCATGTTTTGACTCCTCTTCAAGCACCTATTCATCAGACTTTTACTCGAGAAGACCTATTCTAAAATACGCGGTTGTGAAATGTTAAGCATCGTCAAGTGGTGTTATTAATAATGACGGCAATGGTGCTTACGTTAAAGAAATTAGTGAGATAATTCCTTGGACGAATACCCAATTTACCCTTTCGTTCGCAGCATCGTGGCCTTATTATCTAAAGTGCTCTGGCGGGCTGAGTTGAAGGTAAGTGGGGGATGAGCAAAAAGAAAATCAAAAACGAGAAAAGCCCAACGAAAAAGAAAGAGACAAAAAGTGGTGAGAAAAATAGAAGAAGGATGAAAGGCGCTGGGGTAACGTAGAGGAAGAAAGAGGGGGAAAAAAAATCTGGAGGAAAAAGGGCAAAAAACGTGGTTGAGATCCCGTTCTTTTCACCCTTCCTCTTTCAGACGCCTCCGCACACTAGCCGGAACTACGTTCCAGGCTGTCGAGAGATGCCTCGTACCCGCTTCCCCCTTTTTATATATCTTTTTTTGGACCCGCTATAATTTATTTACGCGCCAGATATTTTAACCCGACTTCCTTTTCTTTACTCTTATCCTTGCAACCCTTTTTACCGTGAGGATGAGGGCAAGGTATATATCTACTCGCCAAGTTAATCGGATTACACTGATGATTGTCTAGGTCCTTGGGTTAGTCCTTGGCCGTTTTGCGCGGAATTCAAATTATTTTTAATCCGCCAGTCCTACCTAGTTTGGAGCTTAATATAAACGGAAACAGGTTTTGTTGATAGAAACCACCAATCAACAAAAAAATAAAGGGAAATTTTACGCACGCATAGTGTCTACAACTCGGGCCTTCAATTGAAGGCCCGAGTTGAAGAACCGAGTTTGTAGCAGAGACGTCAGACAAGATATGAATGTTTTTTTGGGCTCAAATGAAAGAGCGGGTCGAGAAATGGCGTGCTAGGACCTCTAAAGATGGTTTTGAACCAGGGGAGACTCCTAGACCCCACTGTCATGTTATCACAATTGCGCTTTTCAATTGAAAACAGACATGATCTTTAGAGACATTTGTCATCTCTAAAGACTTCTGCACGCCATTTTTCGAGCCGCCCTCTCATTTGAGCCCAAAAAAACATTCATATCTTGTCTGACATTTCTGCTACAAACTCTGGTCATCAACTCTGGTTTTCAGTTGAAATTGGAATTGTTAGTTCACACTATAATAGGATTGCATTGACGACTTTTTCTTAACTCGCAAAAATCTTCAAACAATTTGCTATCGATTGGTGATAACATTTTTTGGAAATAATGAAATAGGGGGGATAAAGCCTTTTTTTCAGGGTGATTTTTCTTTTTCAGGGGTGGTTTAATCTACAAATTGCACCACATTCATGTCAAATTTTTTCGATTACTTGAAAAACCCAAGTTGTCGCATACACACACACAGACATGACTCTAAAACCATCATTTCTTCACGTTTCATAACACTCTGCACCATTAGCAATCGAAATCATAAAATCGAAAAATCGGTCAAACACCAGTTTTCCCTTCGGAAGCAAAAAATGCAGGAATGTCGAAAAGCTCCACGGAAATCGGCATATATCATTGTATAATAGACTCTTTGTCGGCGTTTTGGCTGGACATTTAGAACGGATGTACAATCGATGAATCAATCCAGTTTTGTCGTGACGTTGATGCAAAGGAGGGTGAATTGAGGGGTCGATAGTTGCATTGGATATGTGAGAGCAACAAAGATAACTTCCATGCAACTCTCACTCTCTATGCACCATGTGTGCAGGTGCGGGTGTATTAAAAACTGTGGGTGGCTGCGGTCGCGTACCAATCACCCCCTCCCCCCCTTCCCGGCTCCCCTCCCCGCCCATGAAATGGTATAGGTGAAAGGGGAATACCAAAAAGGAGAGAGTATGATGGGGAAAGGCCAAAATATTTTCGGCTGGTGTGAGATAGACATGCACATGCACCTACCGAGTGGACATGGTGGGACAGGTTTGTTCCGCACATATCCGCGTTGCTGCGCCACTATCCTGCACTCGTCGTTGTTCAACGTTGTTTTGTTCTCTCTCTCCTATCGTGTCCCCCTACCCGTGAAATTTTAATCGTGTCGTCATTGGGGTAGTTTGTTGCGATAACCCAACCAGTAGCGTGTACCCGCGGATTGGGGGTAAAAAAAGGGAAAAATAGAGGTACAAAAAATAGTGTCCCGTGCCCATCCGTCCGATACGATCGATTTGCCGACATAACCTCACTTTTCGTGTTCAGTACCCCATCTACTAGTGAAATAAATCCATTAACTGACTCATTTGAATATATATCCACATGGAAAAAATATATATACAGAAATATATGTCACTTATATCCGCTTATATGTGGTATTCTTTCCGGCAAAAAATGCAATATTTGAGATATATGTTGGATATATGTGTGCACATATATGCCACCGGGTATACCTAGCATATACCTGGTATACAAGGCGGATATATTCAAGATATAATTCCGGCAAAATCACAATATCTCACTTATAAGTTGTGGCTTATATTTTTTTCTATGCGGGTAGACTGCCAGTTTAATTGATGGAATTCTTAATCATTATGTATAATGAGGATATCGACTCAGGAATTTTGTAAAGAGTTGATTTGAATTTTTTCACTATTATCAAACGTAGGACAACCCGAGTCAGGCCTGAGGATTGATCAGAGAGTCATATGGTAGCTGGATCAAGCCCTGATCAGTCATGCAACGCGGTCTTTAATCAAGACTTGATCAGGCATAACGTTTTTGGATTCGATCAGGCCAAACGTATTCAAACCGGATGATTTTTCCATCGGAATCAATAATAATTATTAATGATAATTGAATCAAAATGAAAGATAATTCAATTTTTTCACTGTAGATCGCCTCCCTTAATGCATCCCTACCGTAATTACCGCTGGAAAAACCTTATCATTTTCGCCGATGCTGGGCATCGAACCGGGGACCCTGCGATTACTAATCCTATTCCCTAACCACTAGACTATCGCGCTATTATTATTCATTTGGCTCTGTTTTGCCTGTACAATCTGTATCGGGGTATTTATTGGCTTCGAAATTATTCATAATCTCGCCGATTTGCGCGCATATTCTGAGAGAAAAGTTGTTTAGTTAAAATTTTATCCATTTCCTTAATGAATAATAATTCCAATAGTCATAACACTAATGAACAGAAGGAAGCTTGATGATTTTTTTTTCCTGAAGATAATTTGCTCGTAAGTTGGATACTTTTGTTATATATATTTCTGGCATCATCCCTCCTTCCCCCCGTGCATTTAATTAAAACCGTTTGATAAATAAATTGAGAATTTAATTTTAAACATTTCAAATTCGATTCTCGGAAAACGTTTGTTCACATTAAGATCAGGTGAACCGGACCCAAACTTGATCATGTTTTCTTCAATTGACCGCGTCCACATGAAAATCAAGTGCATCAAATCCGAATCGGATCAAATTGGGTTTAGGCGGCCTGACCTGAGACTGAGATCATGTCCACCTGATCAGAACTTGATCTAAACTCGCCTGAATTTTTTGGGATCCGATCTACTGGATCAAAACCTGGTCAGGTTCTCATCCCAAATCACCCAATCAGTCGAACCTTCCAAAAATTGGATCAAGCTCTGCAATTCCCCTCGGCAAGAAATATACTTACCATCAGTTGAATGAATCCTTCAATTGATATTCCACTGCCATATTTCCCTTCGTGAACTGAGGATGGCGAAGATTAAAATCGATTACAGTTGGACTACATGAATCGACTAATTAGTGTCATGCCAGTCAAATAAATAAAATCTCTTATTTGATATCATATTGGACAAATGGTTCTGCTTTTGAAAGACATATTACGTATCAACCGACTGAGTAATTGCTCATTCATACATACGTAACTCAATCGGAAAATAATGCTTGGGAAAACTGGTTATTGTGGGCTTTTTATCTCTCGATTTTCTGCCCCATACCACTGGTATCTCTCGGTACGTGTGGCGAGATTCACTTTGTATTTCCATCAATCACAAATAGCCTCCTAGCCTATTCGTCCAAAAACGAATGAACTTGTATACAACTGTTTTTCAATGTATAGGCTGTGATATAAGGACTGTGGGTTGAGGGAAAATTTTTTCTCCCGTTCTGTTGCAATACTGAGGAAATTATTGGATTGGAATCGAGAAAATTGCCAGTAGGATCGCAACCGTCGAGATTAAAACCTAATAACGAAACATTTTCACGTGCTCTCTCCTTGCTCTCCAGGACTGGATAACTAGGTCATTAGGTGGCAATTAATGGAACAAATGATATTTATTCGATCGCATTACCTAAACATGATAAAACCTAATTACTCTTCCAAATAAAGATGTTCCATCGTGTGGTTTAATCCTCAAAGAACACCAAGATGATCATAATTACACTAACGTAATTTATAATATATCAGATTTTCCTTATGCATTGACAAGTTATTTACAGGTGACAATTAGAGATCATTCTATGTAAAGTCGACGATTGAAATGCCGGACTATTCATCCTCATTCCTGATAATGTACTCTTGCATTTCTCACAGTAATACGACATGATACAGTAGCATAGATTTTTATGTACAGGCTGAATCAAAAGTAAGACAATTAAACCCTGGTTAGTCCTCGAAGTCCCCGATGTCTGTGATTCCACCTCTCTCAATAAGCAATCGTATATTTTCCGAAAGTCTTCACGAAGCAACCACTCGTTGATTGCTTTCCATTCAAGTCCACATGAGAGTTTACTTTCGAACATCAATAGGGCCTCCAGACGTGCCTGGGCTTCGGGCTTCTATCCTTTCTCGGTCTAACTGATTCCCTCTCAACATCGACATCATCGTCCTTTCTCCTCGTCGTCAAGTCCTGACCAACATTCTCCTTATCTTGGCCCCTCTTGGTACTCAGATCAACGGTACCCTCAAGCCGTATTTTCACCGTTAAATCATTTCTCCGTACCCCTTGATCCTCATTCTGACTATCAATGTCATTCAAATTCTCAATGCTCGGTCTCAAACGCTTCTCGGTATCTCTGAAATCCTCCTTAACGCTATCTTCCATGTCACTTCTCACCGGTGATATACGAGGTGATTCCTGTTCCTGTAATGAATCCTCGCTTCTCCCTTCGAATATTGGATCCTGTTCATTTCTGTCATCCACTTCGATGCTGCCGTCTGGACTTTCAGTGTCCCTCAGTGGATCAGGATCACCGTCTTCTCTGCGTCTTTCATCCCGTGAACTCACACTGGGACTGCCACTCGTACTTCGCAACTGCTTAAGATCCTCCAAATTCGCATGATCGGGCCTCTGTAGCCTTTGCTGCATGTGCACTGCCAATTTATGCCAGTCTGATTCCACTAAGTACTGAGGCGGGTGGTAAGATAGTGGATTGTACAGCCAAGGTGTTTGAGGCAGCAGCGGGGCGAATATCGATCCAAACAACGGATGTGCTCGCAGAAAGTGAAGACCTGAAAAAATGCACATTATCAATCTGTTCATCAATCACGTGATTTCATGTAATTGAAGATGTGAGATAGAGTACAGTCTTTGTACAAGATACTACAGGGACTGTAGGAGAATAAAATTCCGAGGTCTTAAGGGCCAGAATGGGGTTTACGAGGGTCAAAATAAGGGTCATGTGGGTCAAAATAAGGGTCACATTAAGGGCCCAAGTAAGGGTAACAAGATCATGAGGGTCAGAATAAGGGCCAAAAGGGCCGGAATAAGGGCTCCAAGGGTCAGAATAGGAGTCGCAAGGGTCAGATTAAAGGTTACGGGGGTCAGATTAAGGGTCGCAAGGTTGAAGGTCACAAGGGTTACATTAAGGACCCAAGTAAGGCTAACAAAGTCATGAGGGTCAGAATAAGGGCCAAAAGGGCCGGAATAAGGGTTCCAAGAGTCAGAATATGAGTCGCAAGGGTCATATTAAGGGTTACGGAGGTCAGATTAAGGGTCGCAAGGTTAAAGGTCACAAGGGTCACATTAAAGACCCAAGTCAGGTTAACAAAGTCATGAGGGCCAGAATAAGGGCCGGAATAAGGGCTCCAAGGGTCAGATTAAGGTTTATGGGGCTCAGATTAAGGGTCGCAAGATTAAGGGTCACATTAACTGCCCAAATAAGGGTGACAAAAGTGAGATTAAGCGTCACAAGTGTCAGAGTAAGGGTCAAAATAAGGGTGACGAGGGTCAATATAGTGAGGGTTAGACTGAGGATTCAAATGAAGGTCACAAGGATCAGATTAAGGATCATGGGGGTTGACGAGCGGAGCGAGGGGGCGTAGCCCCCTAGTAGACATATATATTTCCAATAATTTCCACAATATCCCAGCCCCATTTCCACTCAATTCTAGCCCCTTTGTAGAGTATCTTGTACAGAGAATGCAAACCAAAACCATTCAATCCACAAAGTGGGAGTATGATGGGCCGCCTAGTATCTTATACAAAAGTGTCTTGTGTGGCACTGGACTGTACCTTGCAGGTGGGGATGATGTCCAGGTGGATTCGAAGTGGTGTTATTTGTCGCCGAGTCGGCAGGTGGTGTTGCTGCTGTGACTGAAGCAGTTGTTAATAATCCGGGGCCAGAATTCGCTGGGGAATCTGCCTGTGCAGACTCCCTCACAGCAACGCTTATTGGCCCCAAGTCGTTCCTCGCTGATTCTGCATTGAGAAACAAAAGAAGATAATGTAAATGGCCCTCATTCTAGGCGGTTACGCCATTCGATTTTTCCTCTCTCTTACCGCTATTAGAAACTGGTAGTCGAGGAGATCTTTGCTCGATGGCATGGTGGAAGGGGTTGAAGGCAGAGACTGTACCACCCGCGCCTGGCGGCGGATGCGGCTGCGATAGGTGACCTGGTGGCGGCGGGAGACAGTGCGGGGGTAGAGAACCTCGGGGGAGACCGCCCCACCCTTGTCCACCAGTCTGCTCCAGACCCAGGTGTTGCAATCCTGTTATTAACGTGAGAATAGGAACCATTGTCAACATGTGATTTCTTATAAGATATCGGAGAATGTATAGGGTACTCTCTGATCTCCATAATGAACTGGCGGAAGGGGTGTTGGAAGCTGAAACGGATTGAAGAAATGGGAAATTGAATTTTGAAGTTGGAAAACCACGAATTAATGCTTCTGATACTCATCAGGACGACTGGAAGCTTTCAAAATATTCATGTACGATCCTCTCTTTCTCTCTCGTTATTGTTTCATCTCCATTGCTAGTCCGCGGACGTATCGCTTTTCTTTTTGTAGCTTTTTAATATTATTTTCGCCTCAATTTATTTAATCAACTTCTTTTGGGAATAGCCTCTTTAACTTTATATTGGTGTCAGGAGTGGGATTCGAACCCACTTATATAGAAATCTGATCAATTTGAAACTGATTTCGACGCGGTAGGAAAAGAATACTGAGCAATCTGATGCTGAAGGAGATAGTGAGATGGAAAAACAGGAGAAGTGAAGAGCGAAATGATCAAAAATTCTGGAAAAGCTCTTGGAAATGCAGCCAGTGATGCTGTTGGCGATTTTGTAGCAGAGCGCAGTGTGTGGTATGATGGATTCCTAAGTAGAATGGGTCGATATAAGATCCGACATTTTCTTTCCTAATATCGACATGGTGATATGAACTATCGTCAACATGTGCTTTTCTCATCCCATACGGAGAAATATATATTCTGAAAATTATATATTTTATATATGGAATTAGCCTGATTTATATATAAAAATTATAGAAAATATATATGGAACGTATATCAATTTAGATTTTATATAAATCTTATATATATTCGAAGAATATATTAAATTTGCCTACTATATACATTTTATTATAATATAATATATAATAAAATATATAATATATATAATATAATATATAATAAAATATATATATAATTATATTATATATATTTTTTATATATTTTTCCATGGAGGAGCAGAAATCAGTAAATATGTTAAGCACTGTCCGACTTGTACAATAAACTGCCGGATGAGATCTTGAATGCCAAAACGGATTACACGAATGGAAAATGTAATTTTGAAACAAGAAACCCACAAATGAATTCCCCCGCTGCCCACCCTGAGAATTGGAAATCGCCGAAGGAGACACTGAAGTTGAAAAACAGAAGAGGTGAAGAGTGAAATGATCAATAGGAGATTATATCGTCATCTGCGTGGAGCGATTCAAAAATTCCGGAAAAGCTCCTGAAAGTGTAGCCAGTGATGCTGTTGGCGACTCTGTAGCAGAGCGCAGTGTGTGGTGGAATTGATTCCCAAGTGGAATGGGACAATATGAGACCCCCCCACCTTCCCAGTTTCACGTGTGTCCTCACCAATACTGTCCCTTCCACTGGTATTTTCACTGATGATGGTAACGAAGGGGTAACACCGAAGGACGGAAGAATACCAGACGCAGCTGCTAGTGGGAGCTTTTAAGAGAGGGGGTGGATTCATGAAGAGTAGGAAAAGGTGGGATATACAGGTGGGGTTAGAAGTTAAAAAGAAGGGGAAGCTTGGATATTTAGGGTGGGGTAGGAAACCGAGTCACTGGCGCGTGGGCGTACCTCGCGGAGATTGCGGCCGGCCGGATTGGCTGGCCGCAAACCCCTGCAACGAGCTTTTGGGAAAGGTGAGTAAGTGGGGAAGTGGAGGTGGGGGAGGTGTACGTTGAAAACTCCGTGGGTAACGGAGATGAACAGAGAGGGAGAATCGTTCAAATAATACGGAAAAACTCCGCGTGAGGGCGCTACTGAAGGCACAACCGGCCACCGCCAGAGCGTCGACGGATAAGAGAGTAAAAATGAAAGAGAAACAGAGAGTGCGAGGGGGCCGGTGGGGAGGGCGATTTGAGAGTGAATTTTTAAGCTCTCGTTTAAGCTGCGCGCGATGGCAGACAGAGGACACCACTATCTCTCGCGTACCACCGCACACTGAAGCCACCACGAGTGCAGCCGTGATAGTCACATTCACTACTACTGGCAAACCATTTCCGCTGTATTTATACTGGATTTTAGATTGCGTTATAACTGACGGGCGGGGCGGGGGGGTCATGAGAGGATTAAGGAGGCGAGGCCGAGGCAGTGCGAATGAAGAGGTGGTGAAGGATATAGGGAAGTTGTGCCAGTACCGCTCACCTAAGGAATGGCGATAATTTTCGGGTCCCAAATCATGATTTGGAATAAAAATTGTAGTCCAGAGCGTTCTTTGGCTATTCAGCTAGATACTTAAGTCTTGGATCCCCAATTATTGTTTCAATTACGATAAATTATCGAGAAATGATGATAAAATTTCTCTAGCGTAGAATAAAATTTGATCATCACATATTAATTTTTACCAAATTTCGGGATAAAAATGAGGAAACGATGACTCATGATAATTTTTATCGAAAATTTCTTTCCGTGTACATGCGTCGCCTCTTCAATGCTCTAGAAACGTTTTCTGTAAGAGATCTCACTAGTCTCCTGAATAGAGTTCTTTCTGGGAAGGGAAGAGCGCAGCCAGTGGTTCATCGCGGACAATGAACCTCGTGAATTAATAAACCTCAATATCCTCATTCCCTAGGACCACCAAAATTCGCGTGCCACATTTGATGATAAGTTTAGTAAGAAGAGGGACAGATGAAATGTATAACGCGGGAGGGTGGAAATGGGGGTGATAATTCCGAAAACAAATGAAGACTAATGAGAGTGGGGTTGGTTGGAAAGAGGTTGTGCAAAAGGGGTTTCAAGGAGGCCAAAGTTTAACCCCTTTAAGGGAGTGAGAAATGTTGAGCTTAAATGTTACGGCTTTTGTGGGGTTTCAGTCGTGTGCTAACCCCGGGGAGTATAACGCCAAGCCCCCCTCCCCTCTCTTATCGCTACATATCGATGGCAGGAGAAGAATGCAAGATGATGTATGAGTGTACGATGTTCATATAATGCACTGGGGAGGTCACCCCTCGCGGCTCAAGAGGCTTGTGAAATTTGAGTCGACCAGTATTGTTAAATATTTTTTCAACCAATAATTTATTTTAAACCATTGTCTGAACCTCCGCAGAGCCTTGAGTGTTCCATAATTAAACTGTTCACCCCATTCATGAGCGAAAAGGTGAACCGGCAGAAGTTGAAAAATGCAATGTTTTTTAAAGAGACGAAAAGCTTATTGTTCATCTTGGGAGTCGATTTGAATAAAAATTTAATTTAAAAAAATCGACTGGAAGCATTGACGTCTTTGCTGCTGAGTTGACAACATGAAGAAGAGAAATGCCACTTCATAATTTCCTTAAGATACTGTTGAAGTACATAATGCAATAATTTGCAGTATTTACGTGTCTCGGCTATTCAAATCTATGCAAAATGAACGGTTAAAGGCCTGCCTTACAACATCCAGGCGTTAACCCCTTGTCGGAGGGATTTCCACCCTTCTCTAGTATCTCCTGCACCCCCTTGTTTCTTCTTTCAACCCAGCTATTCATTCTTCCTTTTTCCTTGGTCTACTGTTCTCCCTTCTATGCTACCCGTTAGGCGTAGAGTCTTTGGTGTCTTTGCCCAACGGTACCCTTTCTCCTACCCCTTTTATGCCCGGCCTCATTATCGCGTCCCGACTATACCCTAAAATACCATGGCTAAGGGATTCCATCCATTTCGTTAATGATACTGAAAATTTATGCGCCGAAATTTATAAATTTCTACCCAATACTCCAACTATTCGACACAACAGTTGCCGTGGAATTAGCTTCGATGAACTGCGATCTTCCATTTTTGCCGTGACATATTGCTGTGACCCTTGCCATTCATTCTCAACAGATAATCCAGGAACCTACAAGGCTTGTGAAGTTCCCGAAGTGTCATTAGAGTTGTTCAACAAACTGGACGGGCAGCTCTGGTCACCCGAGCTGATTAAATGAAGCAACAGCGATGTACCTGGGCTACGGCAGTCGAGACCAATTCCCTCGTCTACCTTCGTCCAGTTTTCTGTACTAGTATGACGCTAAGTTAGATAAGTACGGCGTTCTATACAAGATCAAGTCAGTGCGAAATAGTAAGAATTTGAAAAGAATATGGGCAGGTGAAAAAGTTCATACTTAAGTTTTTCGTTTAGTATTTCATTTCGAGGTTCTTTTACTTTTATGTTTTTACGGATGATAATTTTTTATGAGTGAGTGGTGAATTTTTAACGGTATTCTAATGCCGTGATCTTTGGAGAAGTCTCGTCCGGAAATGAAATTTTACGGCTTAGGTCATGAATTCCAACCCGCACAGCGAACTTGGCAGGTATCATGAAAAATACAACTTTACGAATCTCGGATTGATTCAAGTCAAATTTCGGCTTGATTCAAGTTGAATTTTCGGTTTGACTTGAGTCAATTTTTCGAGCGCCCCATATATAACTTTCTAGATTTTTTTCTGGAATCTATGTTGATTTTTTTAATCAAGGCAAAAAATCCACTTGGGTCAAGCCGAAAGTCGAATTGAATCAAGCCAAAAAATCGAATTGAATCAAACCGAAAAATCGACTTAATCAAGCCGAGGAATCGACTTGAATCAAATCGAAATATGGGCTTAAATCAAGTCAAAAAATCCACTTCAGTCAAGCCGAAAATCGAATTGAATCAAGCCGAAAAATAGATTTGAATCAAATCGAAAAATCGACTTAATCAAGCCGAGGAATCGACTTGAATCAAACTAAAATATGGGCTTAAATCAAGTCAAAAAATCCCCTCGAACCAAGCCGAAGAATCAACTTGAATCACGTCTTGAATCGACTTGATTTAAGTCGATTTTGACTTGCCACGTTTCTTCTCAAAACAATCGACTTTTCTGCTCATATAAGGTCAGAAATTCGGATTGATGAAGGCCGAGTCACTCGACTTGAGTCAAGTCGAAAATTGACTTGAATCAACATGATTGACTTGAATGACATGCGGTCGAATTACTTTGCATACCTGGAGGGTGTGTAAAATATCACTTCACACATAGT